CTCTGAGATGCCATAGGGGATGATACTGCCATGCTTTACAGGATGGTGTTGGTATTTTTTCAGGGAGCATACTGGAATGTTTTAGGAGATGATGGTGGGATGAATGAAGGAGATATGCTGGGATATTTGAGAGGACCTTATGGGGACATTTTAGGGGATGATGCTGGGATGCTGTAGGGGAGCAAACTGAGTTGCTTTAGGGAATGTCACTGGGATGCTTTAGGGAATGAGTCTGGGATACATGGAGGGATGTCAGGATGTATTAGAGGATGATAGTGAGACACTACAGTGGAGAACACTGGGATGCTGTAGGGAATGATACTGGGATGCTGTAGGGAATTTCATTGGGATCCTTTAGGGGAATGATCCTGGGAAGTTTTGGGGGAGTGCACTGGAATGCTTTAGAGGAAGACAGTGAGATGCTTTAGGGGACAATGCCAGGGTGTGCAAAGGAATAATGCTGTTTCAGAGGAACACACTGGAATGATTTAGGGGATGACACTGGGAGGCTGTAGGGGATGATGCCAGGATGTTCTAGGGGATGATGCCAGGATTTTTTAGGGGATGATGCTGGGATGCTTTAGGAGAGCTTATTGGGATGCTTTAGGGGATGACACTGGGAAGATTTAGGGGAATGCACTGAGGCGCTTTAGGGGGTGATACCAGGGTGTGCTAAGTGATAAAGCTGGGATGTTCCAGGGAAGCACACTGGCATGCTTTAGGGGATGCTGCAGGGATGCTTTCGGTGAGCAGATTGAGATGCTTTAGGGGATGACCCGGGAGGGCTCTGCAGGACGGTGTGAGGATGCCTCAGAGGACGGGTGTCAGGCTGTCTGTCCTCCACACCTGGCAGGCGCAGGAGGCCAGTGGGTCGAGGTCTCCTCGCGGGCATCCCAGCCCGCCTCATTACCGGCATCTTCGGGAAGCTGGAGCCCGTGTATTCTCGAGATGAGCGGCTTGGGGTATATTAACATCCCATTTCCACCTCTTTAATATAGAGTTTGTCGAGATCATTTATCAGCCGAGCCTCCCTTCAGGGCCAGGGGAAGCCGGGCAGAGCTCGGCAGCTGGGTCACGGCGAGAGGCGAGGGATGCTCATCCCCGAAGGAAGCCGGCTCCGGGTTTAACAGGTAGTGGCTCATGTGCGAATCGCTAGTTTGGGACCGCCACATCATTGGGAAAGGCTCTATCAAAGCTGGGCTTAATTGGGTGGAAGGCTTGTTTGCATGGCCGCTAATGGGGGATCAGAGGGCCGGGGACCCAGCGCTGACGGCCTCACAAAGGCAAGCAATTACTTGCTTGTCTGCATTATGTATTAACCCATCTGGGGTCGGGATATTGGCTTTGAAAGGGAGACAAAGAGGGGGGCGTGCCGGTAGCCCCCGCGCCGAATCAGCCCGCCTGGGTCCCCTTTGTGCAGCGGGCAGGGCAGCTGGATCGGGATGCAGGCGCTCAGGATGCTGATGGGCACCGGCGCACGGCAGCAGGGCGCTGCCTCGCTCGGCATCCCCGCGTCCTCCCCAATATTGCATCGAGCGTCTTTTCTCGCCTTTCATCAGTTTCCTGCCCACGGCCACGTCTCAGGATAATTGCAGCTTTGGCTTTAATTAGCCACCGTCGCCATTAATAAGTTTATACTTCTTTTCAGCAGCGTATTTTGGCGGCAGGAGGTTAATTACGAGCAGGTCAGTAAATTGCAGAGCACACACTGCTCTGGCTCTAACGACCCGTCCGCTCGGCTTT